CAGAATATTTTCCTAGTCCACCACGGCCAGCGTCCACATGTGGCGAGAATTACATTTGAAAAATTCTGGATCCGCTTGGAACTTATAATCATATTCAGCTGGTCATCAGCCTTGGCAGCTTCTGACTACCATCTACTTACGACACTAATGAATCACTTCGAAAATGAGAAATTTGGTAGTTGTCTCAAAAACTATAGAAATGTTCTTTTCCTCGTACGGAATTCTAGGAGAGTAGAAGCAAGAAGTTGCTCCATGCTGAAGCAGTCCAGATGGACTTGTCCCGAGTAAAGTACCTATGGCAATTGTCCTGCTGGTTGAAGTTCCCGATCGCTGAAGGAATACCCAAATTATCTATCTCTCTAGGTGTTTCTGTGTCTCAACCCAGTAGTTTAGTTACATTGCAGAGCGTCTATGAGCTATGAGGAAAAAATGCGGCTTATACCCAGAGAATAGGGTAGTCAGCAATGAATATCAGCTTTCAGCACCCAAATTAATTGGAAGTTAAGAAGTTTCGAAAGAGTGAATTCAGTTCTACCATGATTCGCTAGTATTATTTCTCTGCACTATTTGCACTCATTTTGAGATACTACAGCGTACAGTATCAGGCCAAGTATCATTCATTAGTGAAGCGCACCCTGATAACTTCGTCGTAATGCGTTTTGAACTGAACAATGCGTGCATCAGGAGGGGCGAGCTTTTGAACAGCAAGATCTGTCTCGACGGTAGAAATACCGTAATACGTCACGGTCCAATAGACAATGAGGACCTGGAAGCAAACAAACCGTTACAAAACACTTGCAAATAATGCTCATAAAATTGTTGTTTATAAGTACCATTATAGTGAGAATTTGCATCCACGGCTTCCCAACAAGACGAGCGAGACCTTTCCAAGCACGATCATGGAACTTTTCAGCATTTTTCATGAATGTCAATTCCTCAGGTAGGCAACTGCTCCTGGAAAGTCCATGGTTTTGTGAATTACTTGATTTTCTAGAGCACAAACATCAGTAGCCATCGTTTGGAAGAAAGCTGAGATTGAGAGGAATTTACAGGCTTTGCTGGGCGAAACCCGACTGCGAGAAGACAAAAAAAGAAAGGCACACCCACATCACGCACTTACAGATGTGGCATCCCACCTTCGAACATTCTTCAGGCAGTAACTTCGGTGTTGATCAAGTCGCTTCTAAAATTGTTAGCGTAAGTTCGGTTTTGATCGCTTCTCGGGATGGGCCATGCATTCTGTTTCTACAGAGAACCGCACCGACATTGGATGCTATTTAGAAACAGTGACTGCGCGGACCAGGCAATGTACAACTCTTCACTTTCCCTCTCGCAAACGCCTTCTGCTACCTCTTTCGGTACAACCGATCCAGAAACGAAGGTTCTTTTGGCCTGAACAAAACTGATCCGGGATTTCATTCCCGGGCTGTGCAGCTATAAGCGGGGCCCTTCAAGACCAGCACGTTTTCTTTCTCACCTGTCTATTCTATTTTCACTCCTAATAACAACTTATAACAGAAAACTGAGGCCTAATACGTAGAGGAGACTTCTTAAAAATCAATGAAGATCTTGTCTAGAAGGTTTCTTGCACTTTTCCTTTTTCTTTTTCCACACCCCTCAGGTTTTTTCATACCTTAAGAGACGCCACTATCAGCCCGTATCAAATCAGTCTGATCAATAGCTGTCGACCAGAGCGATCTTATGACAGAAATGAAAAGAAGTGGATTGGTGACAGTGCTGTCATCAGAGATCATAAGGTCAGCCGGGCGCAGTTCGGCGACCGGTGGGCATTTTGCTTTTTGCCACTTCCCATCGACGTGTCGAGCCATCGAGAGAGCCTTACAGAGAGTTGACAGGTTTTATCATGGTGACTGGACGAGCTTGCTCCAGCTACACAAGAGTTCACAGGTTTCACCAGAGTGAGACTTGTAAACCGGAACTACTGAAGCTGCAAAAGTGCAAAATGCCACCCTCCCGTCGCCGAACAGCGCCGGTCAGTCGTTCAATTGTATTAGATCTCAACCAGTTCTTCGTTCAAGCAGGATTACCTCGATTATGCTATTCGAACATGCGACAGCACAAGAATTTCTCTTTCGTCGGGCGGGGCTACTTATCGAGATTGCAAAGGAGAGCGTAGGCTATCCCAAGTTTCAGCATTAAGTCTGAAAAGTTGTGTGTGCTGCAGAAACAGGAGTTTTCTTATCCCAGGAAGGTTTATTCTAGTGATTGGTCACATAGAGTAGTGATTAAGTTGGACAAAGCGATGGTATCTCATCTTCAGATTCATAGTTCCGCCATCCTCTGCACAGCACGGAGGCACCTGTGCGGCCAAAAACCGAG